ATTGGTGTGTTCAAACCGTTGGCCTTTTGGTTAACAGCATTTCAACCACCAATTCACCAGGGAAAACACAAACACTGTTACTGTACTTGTTATGTGCCATCAGGTTGTTTGAGACTCATTGTGACTCTAAGTACAACAGCTCTGAAGCCTGCCCTATCCTGAGTCAGTTTCACTACCTTTGACATACTTAATCCCATCACCTCAGTCAATCCATCTCATCTCGTCTTCCTCTCCTGCCCTGTCCCTCCACCCTTCCAAGCATGATGTCCTTCTCCAAGGACTGGCTCCTCATGTCCACGTGTCCTAAGTATGTGAGGTGGAGCTTCAATATTCTTGCCTCCATGGAGAAACTTGGCTTCACCCTCTCCAAGACAGACCTATTTGTTTTCTTGGCAGCCCATGGTATGTTCAAGACTCTTCCCCAGCACCACAACCCAAAGGCATCAATTCTTCTTGTCATCCTTTGTCATTTTCCAGCTCTTTGAAGCATAGCGAGTAATTGTAAAGACCATGACCTTGATTAGGTGCACCTTAGTCTTTAGACTGACATTGCTCCTCAGCACTCTGGAGAGTTCCCTGACAGCTGACTTCCCCAATGCAATTAGTCTTGATTTTCTGATTGCTGGTGCCAAAAGGGTTGATTGTAGGGCCAGGCAAGCTAGAATTATTAGCGACCTCAATCTCTTCTCTAACTATCATGGTATTGTCATTTGGCCCAGTGGTGAGAATCTTTGTCTTCTTGATGTTGAGCTTCAATCCACTTGAAGACTATAGTCCTTGACCTTCTGCAGTAAACACTTCAGGCCCTCCTCAGTTACAGCAAGCAAGGTTGTATCATCTCCATAGTGTAGGCTATTGACAGGTTTTCCTCCAACCCTGAAGCCATATTCCTCTTCATAAAGTTCAGCCTGTCGAATGAGTTGTTCTGTATATATTGAAAAGATATGGAGACAGGATGTATCCCTGCACCAAGCAGTGATTCCTGGCTCTGTTCTGATGACTGTCTCCTGGTCCAAGTATAGATTTTACATGAGCACAATCAAGTGTTCTGAGATTCCCATTCTTTTCAAGGTTAGGCACAATTATTTGTTATTTACACAGTCAAATGGCTTTGCACAGACAATGAAGCACAGATAGACATTCCTCTGGTTTTCTTTGCTTTCAGTCAAAATCCATCTGACATTGAAGATAATGTCTTTAGTGCCATGGCCTCTTCACAGTCCAGCCTGTATTTCTAGCAGTTCTCTGTTAATGTACGCTTACCAGTAGTTTTTGGATAATCTTCAGCAGAATTTTGCCTGTGCATGATTTTTGTGATATTCGATAATTTCCAGTCTGTTGGATTGTCTTTTTTTTGGGATAGGAATAAATACAGTCAGTTGGCCAGTTTTCCTCCAGATTTTCAGGCACAAACTGGTAAGTACATGCAGGGCAGCATCTGTTTACTGAAATTTGTCAAATGGTATGCCATCAATTCCTGGGGCCTTATTTTTTGCCAATTCCTTCTGAGCAGATTGAGCTTTCTCCTTCATTACTACAGCCTCTTGATTATGTATTGTTTCATGAAATTCTTCCGTGTCAAGCAATTATTTTTGGTGCAGTGACTCTGTATACTCCTTACATTTTTATTTATTGTTGTGTAATGTCAAATCAGATCTGACTGGCACAGGTGATTGTCCTTCCTTCTCTAGCAGAGCATCTGGTGGATGTGAACAATGCACCATTTAATGTTTCCTTGATCATGTAATACTCTGCCCAAGACATCCTTAAGTATTGCAACTTGTGGCTTGAATTTTTTTCTTCAACACAAGAAATGTTAAGCAAGTTTGGTCTGATTTTTGGACCCCTGCTCTTTTCACATTTCATTATAATACTTTGTTTCCCTGCGTTGTCTTTTTAAATCTTCTATTCAGCTCCTTAATTTCTTCCCTTTGCTTTGACTTCTTGGGATTTTAGTGCAACGTTCAGAGTCTCCTCTGACATCCATCTTGGTCTTCCATGACCATACTTCCTGGATGATATTCTTGAGATCCTCCCACAGCTCATCTGGTTTTTCCTCATTAATGTTCAAGGCCTCAACCCTGTTCCTGAGATGGCTTTGAAACTCAGGTGGGATAGACTCAGGTAAAAATTTTGGTTCCTGTGAATTTAACCTTCTTTGGCTTTAGTTTGAACTTAATATATGAGTATTTGATGGTCTGTTCCACGATCAGCACCTGGTCTAGTTTTCACAGCTTCTCCAATGATTTTTCTTCCCACAGATGTAATTGATCTGATTCCTGTGAATACCTTCAGGTGAAATCCTTATTTGCATTTGTTTCTTATAAAAGGTACTTACAACGAATAAATCATTAATTCTATCATTCTATCTCAAGGCTCTTCTAGATGGAATAATTTTTACTACTCTGTGTTGAGGGAATGTTCAACAGGATAACAAAAATCTTTAAGGGAAGACAGTTAAGTAACAAATGCTTCCACTTCTCTCTCACTGCCATGGAGTCAGAACCCACTAGATTGCGACTGGCGGACGAACAGACCTGAGGAGACTGTCCATTTTTCTTCCCACAAGCTCTTGGTGGATTTAACCACCAGAAAAGCACAGCTTTTGTGTTAACTCCAGATGGGCTATGCCTCCAGAGCTCCTTAAAACTTTCTTAGTACTTCAGATACCTCGATATACTTATGGTTACATTATTTGACTGAGTTGAAAAGGCAAAATTCTGATCTTTCAGTGTTCATTGTTTCTCTTCCTTAAATAATATGTGAAAATGATCTTTAAGGGAAGCTTCTTTTATTCCATATGCATTAACAATTTGAAATATAAACTTGAGACATTCCAGGTAACTATTTTGTCTTTCAAAGCAACAGAATTTTTTCTTGACTCCTCAGTACATTACAATTTATTTGATCCTACATTGTGTTTCACTTTCATTTTAGAGAGCAAAGAGTGTTCTAAACATTCTATGCATATATTTAAGGCCTTAAGAATATCATAAGGGTAATGTTAATTTTTCACAAAGCTTCAGGAAGTGTGTTTTTACTACTAATAGTGGGGGTGGAGGAGAACGACTCTTAAGATATTCTCACCATTTGAGTTTCAAACCTAAAGGAATTTCTCTCTCAAATTAATCCGAGAATGAGGTGGATCTAACTTTTTCCACTGAAAAATCACGAGAGGAAAAGGGGAAAAACCCACCAAAACCCGCAGGGATTTGCAAGGCCAAAAGAACCCCGCCTCCACGGTAGGTTTGAGGCAGCTGTCTCAGGAATCCTCCTTTCCTTAGAATGTGGGAGAGGTTTGGTGGGGAGGCAGCTGCAAGGCAAGGGAGGGAATCTTTTCCTTTTTTTCATAGACAGGCCTCCTCCCCTCTCGGTGGCAGCTGCTGGGCATCCCAGTGGAAATCTCTCTCCAAGTCCTCGCTTAACGCGGCGGACGGCAGCAGCTGAAAGAAGTCAGGGGTGGGGTATCTTTGCGTCTCCTAGACAGAGACAGCAGCCTCGCTGGCCCCAGAGCTGCCATCTCTGGTTTGTAGCAGTCTCCCAGGTGTCCTCGTCCAAGTCCAAGAAGACACCTTGGCAACGTGGCGCGGTTTTCCTCTGTGCCAGGTAACCCTGCGGGAACTTAACAACAGAGGAAGAGTCAGAATCACCTCCAAAGCACCTTCCCAGGTTGGAGGGGAAGGTGAGCGGGAAAGGGCAATGTTTCTTCCCTGGGTCAGGGCTACACTTGATGCTACCGCAGCAGCCCTGAATGCTCAGTTCCCCCACCCGTTCCGGGTCCCCCAAGCCGCCCGCGCGTCCCCACCCCGCCGCGCGGCCACCTCCGCCTCTGCGCCCGCCCGCCTCACTCCCCGCCGCCCCGCGCGCTCGCGCACGCGCACGCCGGGCTCGGCGGCCCTCGGCGCTGTCATGGCGGCCGCGAACAGCCTCAGTGGGTACAGCCGTAGTCGCGCGAGTCGCAGCGGGGCGAGTTGTGCCAGTAGCATCCTCCCTACTAGCTGCAGCCTCGTTCGTGGCGTCCGTAGTGCTAGCCGCAGCCGTGTTTGCAAAGGCTGACTGAGAGCAGGGGTGGGGCGGGCCAGGAAGCCATGGAGTTCTGTGCAGCCGCGGACTCCGGGCGAGCAGACTAGGGAACATTTGGAGGCTGCGACGAGGTGCACTGACCAGTCTTCTTCCTGCTCTCCCTTGCCGTGGCCGCTGGGCCTCACGCCTGCCTCGCCTCTCCTCCCAACACACATCTCCCCTCCTCTCCCAGTCGAAGCTCAGGTGGGAGAGCGCACTCCTCCCCCTGGGCCGAGCGTTGAGAATAATCACCGCCCTCTTCCCCCCCCGCCTTTTCCTGCCCTGGATCTCCGCCGCCACCTCCGTCTCGCTGCTCCCTGGCGGAGTGTGAGGACGAGTCCGGAGTGTCCTGGTGAGGAGGAACTTTCTACCTCAGTGGTAGCTTGGGGGCTCCCTCCTCTCCTGCGACCCCCTCTTTCCCCCTCACCCCCCGGATAGTTTCTCTTTCCGTGCACCTGTGACGAGAGGTCGCCGTGCGCCTGGAACCTGCGAGAGTGGGGGAGGAGTGAACCTGTTCTGGGGCCTCTTGAACCCGCCTTCTCTCAGAGCCTCTCTCCTTGCGCCTGGGAGAAGCGGGTGCCTACGAGTGGGGTCCCTTTAGTAACTTCGTGACCCATAAGAACTACCTCCCCTGTCTGCCCCCGTGGAAAGAAAACCCCTAAAACAAAACCTAGCCTATTTAACATATATCTAATCTTCCAATAGGGTTTGGCGTTGTTGTCAGCCTCGGGGAGAGAGATTGGACAAATATTTCTCCAAGAGGAGGAGGGCGACGCCAAGGACTTTTCACATCTACTGCTTTTGGGTTTCTGCACAAGTTGGAAGACGAGAGACCCTTTTCGTTTTGCATTGCGTGTGTGGTGCCGTGGTGCTTTAATACTCGTGCAACGCCTGCTGTCCCAGGGTGACTCCGAGGTGTCCTTTCTCGCGAGCTAGCAATGGCTAGTGAAGATAACCGTGTCCCTTCCCCGCCACCAACAGGTGATGACGGGGGAGGTGGAGGCAAAGGAGAAGAAACCCTTACTGAAGCCTTAGCCCTGAAGCCAGGGATCCCTATCAGAGGCATCCGAATGAAATTTGCCGTGCTGACCGGGTTGGTAGAAGTCGGAGAGGTGTCCAATAGGGACATTGTAGAAACGGTCTTTAATCTGGTAAGTAGATGTCTTTTTTTTGGTAAGCGTATACTCTTTCGTGGGCTGGGGAACTCGAAGTTACACCTAGAGCCATGTGCTTTGCACTAACTGATGATGGCTTTTTCCATGGATAGAAACGCACAGTTCTACTGACCTAAATGAAACAACTTTTTGGATTTTTCAGTTTAGGAGGAATTATGCAAATCTAGGTTTGTGACGCTAAGGTCACTGTGGTGCAAAGGAAATAGTTGTTTTACTGTGGAAGTTTTTAGGGGCTCTCCAGTGGAGGAGTTGGTTCTTCAAAAAGTTTGTTTTATCCTAAGCATGTGTATTCCTGTCTGCATTTTTTTTTTTTAAACTTTACAAATTTTTATGATCTTTTGCTTGGACTTGGGAAGTAATGCAAATAAATAGACATATCTACATTTTTTTTATCTGCCCAACTGATAAAGTAACTCTGCCAGGATTGCATTTTAAATACGAAATTGTTAATAGGGAGGATGAAAGACTGATTGCTAATTTGTTGGAAAGTTAAAGTGTGCTTTGCATTTGTAATAGTTTCTTTTTAAGACATAAAATACATTGGGGAGCTCTGGTGGCCTAGTAGCAAGAAGTTACACTTGCATTCCCCAAGGCACACAGTTCGAGGCCACCAGCTGCTCCGTGGGAAAGGAAGGACAGTCTCCTCCTTTGCAATTAACTGACTCTGAAAACCTGCCAGAGGGTCAGTTATGGGTTGGTTCCGACTCTACACAACAACACACTTAAAGTAACTCATGAAAATTCAATGACAGTTTGAAAAAAGGGTCTTAATTTGTCTTATTTCCTTGGTAAGTTCATGTCTGTCACTAAAGCATGCTTGGTCATTAGAAGTTGCTGATGATTCTACTTTAAGCTATCCATATTACTTTAAAAGGCAGCTATTAAGTAATTTCCATTACTTTCTATTCCGTTCCTAAAAAATGCTATAATTTTTAACAAGAGACTTTCAGATTTCTTTATTCTAATCTCTACTTCCCACCAACCTCATATTTTTAAGATTAGGCTTATTTTATTCCAAAGCATTTAATTATTTATTTCACTAGAGCTTAATAATATTCAGATCACCCACTACTTTTAAAATGAGGAAGTAGGTAGGTGAAAGTAATTTATTTTTTGACTATGAAAACTTGAAATATTTTGTTATTGCTCTACCAATTTGTTGTGTGCTTATATACACATATACAATGTGTTTTTTAAACTATATTATGGAAATGTTCAAATAGACACACAGATAATATAGTATAATGAACTCTGGTATCTATCATGCAACAGTTTTCAACATTTTTGGGAATCTTGTGTGGGAGACTGAAAAACTTTGCGTCTCAAGGATTTTAAATTAATAGAGCTCTGTTCTTCTTTAACATTTGTTATCTCTTTGTAAGCTTTATGTATCTTGGGATGATGAACAGGTATCTGTGAAAATTATTTTCCATAACTAGCTGTTTGTATGTGAGTACGTATCATTGTCAGGAAAATTTGCAGTGTTCTATAGGGAGCTCTGGTGGCCTAGTGTGGCTAAAGACATGTGCTGCCAGCTCAAGCAGTTCAAATCCACCAGCTGCTCCTCTGGAGAAAGATGGGCAGTCTGCTCCCTGTGCACTTCACAGCCTTTGAAAACCTGCTGGCAGGTCAGCTACAAGTTGGTTACTAATTGACAGTAATGAGTTTATTAGTTACGTGATTAAGAACTTGGGTAACCAAAAGGCTGAGGAATCAGGGTTTCTCATTGGTGTCTGGGTAGATATGCTTGGTGATCTAATTTTGAAAAATCAACCACTGAAAGTCCTGTGGAGCATGGTCCTATTCTAACAAACATTTGTGTTGCTGCAAATTTGAGTTGTTGCGAATTGTAATTGATTTGGTGTGATACATTCTTTAAAATGTGCTGCCCTGGGGGTGGATGTTTAAAGATGAATCATCTCCATTTTTATCATTAAAGAAAGTGTAAGTTGTGTAGTGCTAGTTTATATTCTGACCAGAATTATAAATCAGGTTGAGATTTTAAGGTCATTTCTTAAGTCCTTCACAGCTTTACGTTACAAGGTAATGAATGTCATTCATTATTCTGTTTTCATATAGGCATAGGAAGTTTCCGAGATTAGGTGCTTTGCTTTCATGACTGTCCTTCTTATAATACTTGTCATACTCTTTTGAAGATACCTGAGGCCTTGACCCCAGGCCTTTAAAGATAATGGGAACTGAAATTAGGGAGATCTGACGGCTTAGTGTTAAGGAGCTGTGCTATCAGTCCAAAGGTGATTGGTGTTGTGTACTGTCGAGTTGGAATTGACTCATCGCTGACTCTCCAGCGGATTTTCAGAGGCAGTTAAATGCCCATCTTTCTCCCGCAGAGCAGCTGGTGGATTTGAACTGCTTTACCTTTGGGATTGTAGCGCAGCTTCTTACCACTAGGCTACCAGAGCTCCCTAATGCAGAGGTATGTGTATCAAATCCACCAGATGCTCTGCTAAAGATGGGCACTCTCCGATGTGATTTATTGCCTCTGACTACTCATTGGGAGGTCAGCTATGAGCTGATTTTGACTTGATAGTATACAACAGCAGCAGCTACATTTTTTGCTGATTTAAAGTTGTCAATCTTGCGTCCTAGTGGCAAGAAGCTGCACTGCAATCCCAGAGGCGTGTGGTTCAAATCCACCAGACGCTCTGCTGGAGAAGGAGATTCCTCCTGTATCAGTCAGATCCGATTTGACGGCACACACACAAAAAATAGTAAAATTTAAAAAAAAAGATTGTCAACCTTGATTAAGGGAGGAAATTGTAAATATGACTAAAAAAAGTTATTACTGCCTGTTATGTGCCGGGCAGTGGGCTAGGTGCTTTGTACATTCATCAATCTTTTCCTCTGCCATGAAAATTAGTTGCTATGTAGTTGATGCCAGCTCATGGTGACTCTGTGAGTGTTAGAATAAAACTCTGCACTATTAGGTTTTCAGGTGACTGTGATCTTTCTGAAGTAGATAGGGAATTGAGGCACTGCAAGATTAAAAACATACTGCCTATACTTCGGTATTTCTGGAAGGATAGCCTTTTTTAAAAATAAATTTTATTAATTTTAATGAACATTTACAGAGATTTTGAGTTTCCATTCATTCATTGTTACACTATTTTCTCTACCCTCCCCCCAGTTCGCTTTTTTAAGAGCACATTTGTCTCATGAGTTGATGTTGAGTTACCTGCTTCCCTAAGTGGGTATTTGTAGTTTAGGCAAAGTTTTCCCATATCAGGACTCAGAACACATAGGTTTTACTAAATATTAACGGTGAACTCTCTAAACATAGATTTTATTTTTTCTTATTTAACATTCTGAGCTTTCCAAATTATTCTTAAAAAGACTTTAGAAGGAAATGTTTCAAGCATGTGCTTGGTTAATTTTTACTCAGAATGCAGATGTAGAAAGTTGACGATTAACTTTTTATTGCAGTTAGTAAGTACACTGGTCTAAAACTTTTAAAATTGTGAAAAATAGGATATACAAGCAGGATATGTAACAGTGTAAATAATGGAATAGTATAACAATATACACCCTTTGACCCTTATATTTAACCTGAAGAACTAGGTATTGCTGATGTCACTGAATCCTCACGAGTACTTCCTTATATAAATTTTGACTGGGTATTTCATAAGTAAAAGCTGTATTTGTAGGTACTATAATTTTTTCTTCAAGAATGTTATTAAAATAGAATTACATGTTTTGCTGATCTGTATTACTTTAACCACTAAAGATTGTTCTATTAAAATGACACTATATTCCACCTCTCAAGTTGCTCAGGGAATAAAAAAGGGAAAGTTATGTAAAACTTCAGAGCTATTTCCTTACAAAACACTATCTTCCAGTTTTGCTAATGTATGGAGCCCTAGTGGTACAATGGTTGGTTGTTGTTAACCAAAAAGATTGGTGGATGAAACCTACACTGCAGCTCTGGGAGGAGGACATGGTTATTGTCTGTCTGTAAAGATTATAGCCACGAAAGCCCTATGGGACAGGACTAATCTTGTTACATGAGGTTTCTAATAAGAATTTGCATCAACTCGATGGTGCCTACAACAAACTTTTACAAACCTCACTGAAAGTTACCATCCCTTTTTTACCCTTCTGCATATGTATTTAAAATTCATCTTTTAATTTTGAGACAAGCAGATATTTTAACAGATTATATTTTAAGTGATATAAAAGAATTATTACTGCTGTTAGGTTTGATAACAACATTGCAATTACATAGAGAATGTCCTCTTTAAATAGAAGTTCACACTGAAGAATTTGGGAGTGATATGATAAACTTTGTTGCTTGTTGTTGTTATGTGTCATTGAGTTGCCTGCAACTCATAGCAACTCTGCACAGCAGCTCAAAGCCTGCCCTGTCCTGAACCAGTCTCACTGACTCTAACCCCCCCAACCCCAATTGCCCCAGGTACTGTATGAATCCATCTCATCCAGGGTCTTCCTCTTCTGTGCTATCCCTCCACCCTTCCAAGCATGATGTCCTTCTCCAAAGACTGGCCACATGCCCAGAGCATGTGAGATTGGAGCTTTAAAATCTAGCCTCCACCCTCTCTCTAAGACAGACCAATTTGTTTCCTTGGCAGTCATGGTATGTTCACAATTATAATAAATACTAGGCACTTGTTTTAAAAACATTACAGCTACAAAAAAGGAGAATCTAAAAAGGCATGTTGTTGTTGTTATGTGCTGCGTGCGACTCATAGCGACCCTATGTACAACAGCCCTAAACTCTGCTCTCTTGTGCCAATCGCACTGTCTCTGACACACCTATCCTGATTATCTCAGTTACTGAATCAGTCCACCTCATAGAGGGCCTTCCCCTCCTGCGCCCTCTCTCCACCCTCCCAAGCATGATGTCCTTCTCCAAGGACAGGTCTCTCCT